GGCACCGGAGGAAAAAAAGGAACTGTTCAATGAGACGACCTCGTGCATCGCAACGAGAATCACCCCATAGACTGCTATGAGCATTCAGGTCACCAAGGACCAGATAAGGTTCGGGTAGTTGATCTATTAAGGACTCGAATTCTAGTTTTCCAAGACGGTGGTGTGGGGGTATGTACAGAGAGCAGATGGTGACGAGCTTGTTGAAAAGAACTGCTCGAACAGCCACTGCCTCTAGTGTTGTTTGCAGTGGTAAATGTGTGCATGCTACTTTTTGATTAACAATAATGGCTACACCGCCGGATGATGCCGCAACATCATCTCTGTCCTTTCGGAAGAGAACATACCGACGCAAAAAATTCGTGTTTTTAGATTTTAAATGAGTTTCCTGTACACACAGCACTTTCGGCGAATGTTTGCAAAAGAGCTCTTGAACATCATCGAGGTTTCTAAGGAGTCCTCTGACGTTCCAATGTATTATTTGTGTTGCCATATTGGAGGTAACGTAGTGCTGTGTGTAAGGAAAAATGGGTGTGTCTGCTTCTTAAGCTAAGCGTTAAGACGCAAAGAACAGGGCCGTCGCCGGGCCCCGTTATTGGCTTTTTATTTCTTTTGGCGCGCTCCAGGGAGCTACGCCGATCTTTCGGCACCAGGGGTACCGTGGTGTCCATTGCCTCTTCAGAGGCACTGCGTGCCCGCATTTGCGAGCTGATGTTTTGGGCTTGGGACCTCGCCTGGTGAGACGAGGCCTTCATATCGGCCGACCCTGGGGTCTCCTTCACCTCGGGGGGTGAAACCTTCGGTCCTCTTGGGCTAGAGGTCGAAGGAACCTCCTTTGGTGCTGGGATACCCTGGCCGCTGCAAGAGCTTGCAGCGGCTGTGGTTGTCGCCGTGGGGACGAGTGGCAGGGCAGCCTTGGCTGTTCCCGCCGTGGGTGGGGGCATTGGCGACCGCCTGGGCACACTGTGCCTGGCATGGGCAGTTGCCGCAGGCCGTTGTAGTGCTGCCCCCTGTTGCACTACATCGGCGAACGATGGTTTGTTTGTGAAAAGACCAGATACTTGTTGGCGGGCTTCTCGGAAAGTAATGTTTTGTGTGATTTTGATTGTAACAATTTCTTTTTCCTTTTTCCATGTTGGACAGGTTCGGGAGTATGCGGGATGGGCACCATCGCAGTTTGCGCAGTGGGCCGTATCCTCCACCTTACACTCGTCCGTAGCGTGTCCTGTGGTGGCACACTTTCCGCAGGTGAGTTGGCCGCGGCAACTCTGAGAGCCGTGACCAAAACGCTGGCATTTGAAGCAACGTCGTGGGTTGGGAATGTAGGGTCTCACATTTAACTTCAAGTATCCTGTTTCGAGATGTTCAGGCAGGGTACTGGTGCAAAATGTCACAATTATGTGTTTTGTTGGGATTTCCTTCTTATCACGCCTAATTTTGATTCTTTGTACTTGTGTCACCTGCTGGTCCTTCCAGCCCTCGAGGAGCTCTCCTTCAGTCAGGTCAAGCAAGTCTTGATCAGATACAACGCCTCGGGAAGTGTTGAGTGAGCGGTGTGGTGTAATTGAGATAGGTACGTTTCCAAACAATTCTAGTTTTGAGAGGTTTTCATACTGGCTCTGACTTTTTACCTCGAGGAGGAGATCCCCACTGGCCATTCTTGTAGCCTGGTAACCTGGTCCAAGTGTAGTGGTGAGGCATTTGGAAACAACGAAAGGCGAAATAGTTCTGGCGTTCTTTTCAGCGGTTTCACAATGGATTACATGGTAGCAAGGAAAGGTTTCTTTCGGTTTGCTGAAATAATTGCAAAAGTCTTCGGTGCGCCCTCTCTTTGAGAGAGGACGATCGTGCAATGAAGGGAGAGAAGAAAAAGCCATAAACTAAATAAGAGTTTGGCAGCCATGCCAGCCGCCCACCATAGAGCCCAACACGGGGATGTGACAAGTCCTAAATTTATATGAGGCATGTCAACGTCAGCTGTACACAGCCGCTATAACCAAATATATTGTGCCCAAGACAGAGCACATACACAAGGTTAACCCTTGCCGCCAGGAAAAATCGGAAGTAAATGGAAGAAAGAAGACAGGATAGATTTAAAGACGAGAAAAGACTAAGATGTAGAGAGAGAGAGAAATAGGAAAAGGCGACTGCCGATTTCCCCTGGGTGGGTCAGCCCAGGGGTGCCGTCTACGTGAAGCCGGGGCCAAAGGGGCGTGTTGCCTCTGCCGGGGGGCCTTAAAGGTTCAATCACCCAGCATCAGCTCAACCCCCAGGATCCCCTTTTCCCCGGACACGGCAAAGCCACGCACGGCTAGGCGTGGGAGGGAGTCAAAACTCCCCCGTTAGCTCGGATCCGTGGTGTCGCTACACACCAAACGCCTCCTTGCGCAGGCGCCCCTGCGGGGAGTGTTCAAAGTTTAGCAATATATTTTCGAAAAGAAAAAAAATCGCCAGACCTGCACGGAATGCGCAGCACAGTCACAGCAAAAAGTTGGAAGAGCAGCCTTTCAGAGCCTTTTCTAAACACTCTTTGTAGAAATGCTACAAGCACACTTGCTGGGTACCTACTATGCGATAAATAATCATAATTTCTGTATAGTAAGCCAGAATTCAGTTAGCTATCCTTCATCATTCTTCAGAGAAGCGTGGTATCCGCTACACACTTGCAAAAAATGTGTGCAAATTTTTTTATGCAGTGGCTGACGACGAAGAATTAGGCCTGAAGTGGGTATGCGCAGTCATATTTGCAAGTTTTTTTTTTCAGCGCGCGAACATAGGGAAAAAAAGGACAGGGTAGACAGAAAGAGTGCCGACTATGTTCGTGCACTGAAGAAAAACTTGCAAATATGACTACGCACCAACTAGCCCAAGTGTACAACTAGCACCAACTAGCCCAACTACGCACCAACTAGCCCAACTATACCCACTCTTGTGGGTATGCGCCACCGTTAATAGTCATAAAGAACAAGCTTTTGCAATGGGTTGAAGCATTGGACAGCTCACTCGTTATACAATTCGTATTGTGTGACACCTGGCTGTTCCTTTGATGTTCTGAAATGCTTTATTACTCATATTAACGCGATTCCTTTCCAGACGTCAAGCTGCCTAAGGCAATTTCGCAAATGAGTTCCAAGTACCGGCGTGGCTCCGTGTAGAATACTGGGCTGGCATGCAGGAGACCCGCACCTGAATCCCACTGTCTCTTGGCATTTTTTATTTACTTAGTTTTTTTTTTCTTTTTTTTTCATGCAATAGTAGTTTCGGACACCGATGGCAGCAGCGGACAGCTACGGTGCAGCAAGTGACCCATGTTGTGATCTCATAACAGCTTTCGCTGTAAAATATGCATCCCTAACTAGCCGTGCAACATGTTTTGCTAAGCAAACTTCCCAATTATATAGGTCCCAACGTGGTACCCACGACATGTGTACAGCCATACAGTGTGTGGCTGTAGTGCTTATTCAATTAATGGCCATTTTATCTCATGCTGAGATGTCTTAACTATAAATTAACCTAAAACAAGTTATAGTAATTATACATCATCATATTTCTGTTTTCTAATGCACATGCTTTCAACAAGAAGCTACCACATTCTTAAAGAATAGCTGCAAGTAATGATGAATATAGTAATAATTAGCAAGTGAGTTGAGCCCCAAAACAGAGTAAGTTGGTTCTGCCCTATTTCAAGTATGGCAATTTATTTTACTCATTTATATCTCAAAAAGTGTAACAGTTCTACCCATGATAGTGGCAGTGAAAGTGAATGGTATAAAAAAGAATTGCCTCACCTCCAACGCACGAGCAACAGCAGCACATAGTGAAAAGTAGCCAGTGTGCAGAGTGCCATTCCACTGCACAGCATACTTATGTGTACTGTCTTTTGACCAAAAGTTGAAGTTTAGGGCATCGACAAGAGAAACCCACTGGGCTGCAGAATCATCCGCAACTTTTGGATGCAATGGGTGGTCCCTCCATGCATGTGTCCCAACAAGGCCCCTGTTGTAGCAGTCCAGCACCTGCACGTACCAGATCTTAGCAAGAGCTTCACCATTCCAAAGTGCTTGTTGCGTATAAACATGTCGACACACAGAAAAGATATGAAAGCAGTCAGCACTGTTTTCATGATTACAAAGTTTCACTTCTCACTTATGATCAAGAACTCTGCTAATATTGTAACAATACTGATAGTTGGCCTAGTTGGTACTTGCTAATGACATGCTTTGGCTGCAAATAACACAAACACAAGTAAAGAAACACACAAGCACAAGCGGCACTTCCAACTAAAGTAGACTGGGCGCGAAGCCAGACTTAAGTAACAACATACAGACATGCGCAGTCTTCACACAACCTTACGCTATCCAGCTATCGAACAATCTCTTCTCCGATAAGTACAACGTCACCGACGGTTCGCTGATACAACTTTCACCTTTCTTCTTAATTATATGCTTCCATCAACTCACGCGCAATTTTATGCCTACTTCTACCTAGAATCTTAACCCCATCAAAACGTGGTGCACACCCGCAGGCTTCACAATGCATAGGCAAATGCGCCAAGCCATCCTTCATTAGATTTAATTCATGCTCCCTAACCCATTCATCAATACAGCGCCCGGTAGCCCCAATGTACCTGTTGCCACAAGAAAAGGGAATCTCATTAACAACGCTTTTGGCACATTTCCCGTACATCGTGCCATGTTTCTTGCCGCATCCCTGACGGCTCGCCTCCACCCCCCGAGCAGTTTTCGGGCACCGCTGAGCCAATTTTTAAACGGGCGCGGAAAAGGCGACAGGTACCCCATACCGGCCTGCTACCTTTTTCAGGTTAAGGAGCATGAATTAAATCTAATGAAGGATGGCTTGGAGCATTTGCCTATACATTGTAAAGCCTGCGGGTGTGTACCACGTTTTAATGAGTTTAATATTTTAGGCAGAAGTAGGTATAAAACTGCGCGTGAGTTGATGGAAGCCTATTACAATAAAAAGAAAGGTGAAAGGTGTATCAGTGAACCGTTGGTAACGTTGTACGTATCGGAGAAGAGATTGTTTGATACCTGGATAGCGTAAGGCTGTGTGAAGACTGCGCATGTCTATATGTTGTTACTTAAATCTGGGTTTGCACCCAGTCTACTTTAGTTGGTTTGCGCCCGGTCGACTTTAGCTTGTCCTTGATGATGATGTGTGGTGCTTTATGGCGCAAGGGCCAATTGATGGCCAAAGAGCGCTATTTCAGTGACTAAAGATGTAAACAATGATATGGTGCGTGGGGCCTTAAGGGGCCTTATATGGTGCGTGGGGCCTATAGGGGCCTTAAAATTCCTCGCGCTAACGCGGGTAAAAACATGAGCATTAAAATCATGACAGTGGCGTGCAGTGAGAGTGGATATCGAAAGGTCATGATAAGACCATGGCGGAAATGTAGTCACCACAGGTCCTGCTAAAGATTACCTTGAAATATGTAGTGAAAACTATGTACATCATTTAAGAACGTAAACAATGAGTGAATTTTATAAATCAGATCCCTACCGATAAGCACCCCAGGGTGTAGTGGGAGCTGCTGTCGGTAGGGCAGTAAAAAGTGCTTTTTTCTTAGAGCATCCAACTCATTACACTGTACGAGGATGTGGAGAACCATAAGTGGTTCTCCACATCTCGCACACAATGGTGGATCACCGGCAGACAGAATATATGAATGTATATAGTATAAATGCCCTGTTCATAGCCTTGTAAGGGTTACTTCTGTGTGTCGCGATTTTGATAATGGTGGCCAATGACCAAGTTGTGGGTTAATAACATGTAGTTTATTACTTGTGTGTCTATCCTACATGTTTTTCCAATAACCTCTGAGCTTTTGTTTTAGAAAAGGTTTCATGTCAAGTGCAGGGATTGGTACTGATGCATTAGAGGCATCGTTGCTGTCGGATGCAGCCAGCTGGTCTGCCAAAACGTTTCCCTGTATCTCACGGTGCCCCGGCACCCACCAGACTACAACATGCTGTTTGGATGAGTAGACTCTGCATAAGAGGGAATAAAGGGACTCAAGAACTGGGTTTTTGCATTTTTTAAACGTTTTCAAGGCTTTCACCACACTCAGATAATCCGTGTAAATTACCGCTTTTTGTAGTTTTTATAAGTCCAATGTGTTCAGCTGCAAGTATTGCGTAGGCTTCTCCTGTGAAAATGCTTGCATCAGGGTGCAGGACACCAGTATCTGAGAAAGATGGGCCAATGACTGTGTACGAAACAGAAATGTTGGTCTTTAAGGCATATGTAAAGAACTCAGGGTCTGTGTACTTTTGTTGTAGTTCTAGGAAGTATGTGTGGATATGTACAATAGGTGTGTGCTTTGTAATCTCTAAAAAAGACACATCACAATCTATCGATTGCCACCGCCATGGTGGCAGACATGCTGTAGGTGCCATCAAACGATATTCGAGTGACACACCGGTTTCCTCACAAAGGCCCCTCACACGAAGTGAATAGGGTTGTCTCAAAGATGGACGGTTTTCAAACAGAACAGAAGTAGACATGTCATCAATTGTGAAAAGTGAAGGGTGGTTCTTGTCTGCCTTCACTTTGAGATAATATAGAAAAGACATGTAACATCTCTGTAGGTGGAATGACCATTCGTTCGATTCCATGTACAGGCTTTCAATGGGGCTAGTGCGAAAGGCACCCGTAGAGAGGCGAAGGCCTAGGTGGTGAATAGGGTCAAGCATCTTTAGGGCGGTAGGTGTCGTAGACTGATAGGTTATTGCTCCATAATCCAAGCGAGTGCGTACGAGGCTCCTGTACAAGTTTATAGCATATATCCATATTACCTATGCCAACATTATTCTGTGCTGCCTACGCAGAGGAGTCAACCCTCAAAAAGCAGCACTGCCATCGTGAGAAACAGTGAGAAATATGTGCATTTCACACGCATGTGAAATGCATGCTTTCGCTGCAAACTGCAATGCACAAACATATAAAGCTGTTATGCTGACCTCCCACTGTTTGCAGCCTGTGTTGTGTGACACTTCATAGCAGTCAGAAACCCGGGACACTTCTTGTCACTCTCCCACGTAGTGCGTGACAGCACTTTTAGAACATACATGGTTCTGATGCACTTGTTTTTTAGATACTTAATGTGTGGTACGAAGGTTAGGTTGGTGTCATGAATTAGGCCTAAGAATTTGTATTCGGCATTAACAGACAGGCATTGACCATGCAATTGAATGTCAGAGTCGGGGTGAGTGCCTCTCTTTCTAGAGAAGAGAACAAGACACACATGCTTTTTGGGGGGTTTAATCGGAATCCATTTTCCTCAGCCTATTTGGAGACCTTGTTCAAGTCAAGCTGAACCTGCCGCTCAGAAATTGCCAGGTTACAAAACTTAAATCCAAGCTGGACATCATCGACATATGTGCAGTAAAACATATTTTGTGGGATGGAAAGACACAAACAATTCATTTTGACAATAGAAAGAGTACAACTAAGTACACCACCTTGCGGTACTCCTGTTTCTTGGACAAATGTTCGGGAAAGAACGCTGCCCTCTCTGAGACGAAATTTACGATTGGACAAGTAGCTTTTGATAATAGTAAACATCCTACCACGCACACCAAGATTGGACAGATCTCTTAATATTCCGAATCTCCATGTCATATCGTAGGCTTTTTTGATATCGAGGAACACAAAAAGAAAGTATTGTTTGTGGACGAAGGCATCTAGATCTGTGATTTGATACGTACCAGGTGGTCGGTGGTGGATCTACCCTTTCGAAACCCGCATTAAAATGTATCGAGCAGATTGTTTGTTTAAAGGTAATGTACAAGTCCGCGATTTATCACTTCTTCAAAACACTTACACATGCAACTGGTAAGTGCAATTGGTCTATAACTACTAACAGAAGATGGATCCTTTCTTTGCTTTAAAATCGTAATAATAATGGCTTCTTTACAGGCAGATGGGATTGTTTGTCACCGGAAAACCACATAGCGCTATACAGGGAAAGCAGGGTTCTTTGCGTATCAGAAGGCAGCTGTTTTAATAATTCGTGGACTATACAGTCCGAACCTGGAGCCGATTTATTGCAGACATATAGCGATGCTTGTAACTCGGCCAAACAGAAAGGGTTGTTGTACGACTCATGTTTAAAGGATTTTTGCTGTAGTTTATCTTTTTTTATTTTTATTTTGTGTCATTGAAAAGTTGGAGTATAATGTGACGTGCTGGACACTTCTTCGAACTGGGCACCAAGGAAGTTCGCCTGGTCTTCCAAGGTGTCGTCCCCTTGTGTGTCTACGAGAGGTAGTGAAGATGCGTGTCGTCCTGCTACCTTGTGAACCATGTTCCAGACTTTACTAGTGTATATGAAGTGATGCCTGATAAAAACTTATGCCAACTTTCTCTCCTAGCCTTCTGGAGCGTTTTCCTGCCTTGGGACTTAATTTTCATAAAGCTTTCAAGATTTTCTGCTGTCGAAAGCTTTCAAGATTTTCTGCTGTCGAAACCTTTCAAGATTTTCTGCTGTCGGCGAGTCCCGTAGCAACCTCCACGCTTTGTTTTGTTCTTAGCGTGCATTGCGACATTCAGTGTTCCACCATGGGACACATCGCTTGCCAGGCAGTCCAGAAGTGTGCGGGATGCATTTCATCGCAGCGTCGGTCAAAAAAGCTGAAAAGTATTGTACAGCTGCCTCTATGTTTACATCAGATAGGTCAGTCCAACTTAAATGAGAAATCTATGAGAACTGTTCCCAATCAGCTTTGTCAGTGATCCATCTGGGGACCTGTGGGCGATATTCATTTGATATGGGTGTGCTTAGCGTTACCAGAAAGTGGTCACTTCCGTAAGGATTATTGATGACGTTCCATGTCAGTAAAGGAAGGAGGGATGGAGAAAAAATACTGAGGTCTATTGATGAGTAGGTATTGTTGGCGAGGCAGTAGTATGTGGGCTCTTTCCGATTTAGAAAACACGTGCCAGAAGTAAAAAGGAACTGCTCAATCAGGTGACCTCAAGCATTGCAGTGAGTCACCCCATAGATTGCTATGTGCATTGAAATCTCCAAGGAGAATATAAGGTTCTGGAAGTTTATCTATTAGGGACTGAAATTAACGTTTTTCAAGACGGTAGTGTGGAGGTATATAAACAGAGCAGATGGTGACGAGTTTGTTCAGAAGAACTACACGAATAGCCACTGCTTCAAGAGATGTTTCGAGTGGTAGATGAGTACATGCAATCCCTTGATTGACTATAATATACTGCCGTAGAAAATTAGTGATCTTGGGTTTTGGTGTGTTTCTTGTACACACAGCACTTTTGGTGACTGTTTATGTAAAAGTTCTTGAATATCCTCGAGGTTTCTCAGGAGCTCTCTGACGTTCCACTGCAAAATTTTTGTCTCCATTGTAGTTAAGTGCTGTGTGTACAGAAACATTGCCTTAGGTTACAGGACCTGTTGGTGGCCCTGTAATGCGGGGTTTCTCTTTCTTGTTTTGCTCCAAAGAGCTGCGCCTTTCCTTCGGCGTCTGGGGCGCCGGAGGAGTATGGCTTGCGTCCATCACCTCTTCTGAGATGGTGGATGCTGCCTGCTTGACAGGCATGTTGATGGCAGTTTCGGACCTGACTGCACTTGCAGTGGTCCGGGGTCCAGCAGACTCTGAAGTCTGCTGGCCCTTTCGAACAGGAGGCAGAGCAGTACAGGCTGCTCCAGCCGGAGGCGCTTCAGGCACAACCACAGTCACACTTGGTGTGAATCTCGCGGGTGCCGAAAAACGTGGCGCAGCGCCTCGGCAAAGGAAGGTTCAGAATGGTTTTGCGCAGAAAACCGTTGACGTGCCTCTTGAAATGACAGGTTGAACTTGACCTTAAGTTCTAATATTTGTTTCTCTTTTTTCCATGCAGGGCATGATCAGGAGTAGGCAGCATGATCTCCTTCACAGTTAGCGCAACAGGCTTCTGAAGTGCACTTTTCGGATACATGTTCACAAGATGCGCACTTCGCGCACCTAGCGCACCCTCTGCACGTTTGGAATCCGTGTCCGAAGTGCTGACACTTGAAACATCGGCAAGGATTCGGTATATACGGTCTGACACGAAGCTTACAGTAACCGGTTGCAATGAAGTCAGGAAGGTTGCTTGTACCAAAGGTAACTATGATGTGCTTTGTTGGGGTCTATCTATTATCTAGCCTGAATGTTAATCTTGGTACTTTCACTACATTTTGTTCCTGCCAGCCTTCGAGCAATTCACTTTCAGATAGCTCGAGGAGGTCATCATCAGAAATGACACCATGCACTTTGTTCATCGACCTATGTGGGCCCACTGATACTGGGATGTTATCAAATGATACGAGTTTTGAGAGCTTGTCGTAGTACTGAGTCTTGTCGCGAACTTCTAGAAGAAGATCGCCATTCCCCATCTTTGTTACTTTATAGACAGGGCCAATTGCATCTGTGAGCGTTTTCGAGACAATGAATGGTAAAATAGACCGAACTGTTTTCTTTTCATTTTGGCTGTACATGGTACTTGGGGAAAGTCTGTTTTGGCTGTGCAGAAAAGAAGCTGTCAACGGTGCGCCACCTTTTCAGGCGGCGATCAGGGAGTGGGGTAAAAGGGTTTTCCATAAGAAGCATTTTAAATTCGGCGGCGATGGTGGCCACCCACCACCGAGCCCAACAAGGGGACGCTACAAGGTTGAAAGCAAACACTTGGAGACGCCAGCCATGCATCGCCACTATAACCGAATATAACAACCCAAGGTTGGGTAACTACACAGGGTTAACCCTCGTTGCCAGGAAATTTGGAAGTAAATGCAAAAGAGAAGCTGACAGGATAGATAAAAAGTGAGAGATAGAGCCGATGATTAGAGGGAGAGAGATAGGAAAAGGCGACTGCAGATTTCCCCTGGGTGGACCAGCCCAAGGGTGCAGTCTATGTGAAGCCGGGGCCAAATGGGTGTGTTGCCTCTGCCGGGGGGCCTTAAAGGTCCAGTCACCCGGCGTCCGCTCAACCCCCAGGATCCCCTTTTCCCGGACATGGCTCAGCCATGCATGCCTGGGCCTGAGAGAAGTCGAAACCCTCCGTTAGCTAGGCTCCGTGGTGTCGTTACACACGAAACGCCTGCTTGCACAGACGCCCCTGCGGGGTTAGCTTGTCCTTGTGTGTTCCTTCACTTGTGTTTGTGTTACTTGCAGCCAAAGCATGTCATTCTGCTAATATTGTTCTCTTTCAATTTTACTGCAATAGCGTTAAAGAGCTCACTTCACAGAAATTTCAGTGTTGGCATTCTTGGTTGAGAGCGAAAAATTGAATTCATCCGTGAGCGACAATTCAAAGTACATGCAAATAAATAAATAATAAAAATGTTTGGTTACAGTGAGAATCAAGCCCAGGACGTATACATGGCAAGCAGGTGTTCTACCATGAAGCCACACCAATGCTTGAAGCTTCTTTGCGCAAGAAAGCTATGACAATGTCATGTACTCGGAGGAGTCTCCTTAACGCATGTAATATAGCATGGCAGAGGCATAAAATCACAACAACCATCAAAACGTGAATTGCGCAACGCGTGGGTGGTTTAAAGCCGCCCTTATGGACGCGTAGTGAGCACTTCAATTTTCAAAAGGGAGAAGTATGGCGCACCGGGCCCTTCACAACAGTACTTGCAGGCATTCTAGGATCGTTTGCAATGGCCAATGTTACACACACAGATGTTTCTTTTTTAGCAGCACCTTTGATAATGATGCGCATGGGGCCCGGTTACACTATTATGAGCTCAAGCATCCTCCACGTTTTAGAAAGCAGTCAATAAAATGCCAAAAGATGCTAAGGCACGGCAACAAGCCTCACAATTTCTCACACCACGCACGACTTATTGATAAACAATGCCAGTGTGAATCAGCAGATATGAATTTTTTTCATTATTTAAATTCCTACAATTTTCTTGTCAGTGGCAGGGAAGTAATGTGCGCGCACAAATTGAACTAATAATTATAAATGTTACACACGTATTGCACATAAATAAAAAGTAGTTAACTTTGTGTGTATGCATTAACAATGCGTGGCGCTACTATTCATACCAGCCAAGCACACACTTCTCAGCCATTCTTTGATCCTTCAGTCATAGAGCCAAGTACAGCATAGTCCTAAAAAAAAAAGGCTTCAACACCTCACAACTATAAATAAAAAAAGCAAAAAATATTTCTCTTTTAAGCAGAGCAAGCAGGCTGAATTTGAGCAGTACAGACTCCATTCTTCTGTTTAGAAAACTGTAAATATATTGAAACAATTCCACATTGCGTGACTGCATTATAACCAACTTAGTGTTTTGCAGAAGACACTTTTGTTCCCACACCGATAGATTTTATTCAGCATTACGTATTCTTGAACCATACATTAAAACATGATTCAATGAGTTTTCCGTGTAACTAATCCAGCTCAAAGGTTACGACAGCCTCCAGAAATCAGGTAAAGAACCAATGGTACCAGGCAGTACAAAATGCATCTAACATATATTCAATGTCTAGCATGTATTTATTGTAGTACCTTCTTTTTATTAGGTTTGGGTTTAACTTCTCAAAGTGATTCAGGCAATAAGGGTTGTCACAGTAGGGGGCTTCGGAAATATTGCCTACCTGGGGTTTTTAATTGTGCACCTAAATCTAAGTACAAGAATTATGCAACCATGATCAAACCTGCGACACCCTGGTCAGCAGTGGAGCACTGTAACCACTGTGCCACCGTGACGGCTCTCTCATGCGTATCAGCTGCTATTACATGGAAATGATTTACATGTAGAATGTTCTCATCAAACTATATCTATATTCAATTAACTGACATATTCAATTATTCCAGTCTAATGTCCCAATTGCTCTCAGCAAGATCAGCAATGTACTGAATGATGTACTTGCTGCACACTTTCAGAAGACCCACATAATTTTTTTGCATTTAACAAGAACCCATTTCTTGCGAATGAACCCCACTGGTGTTGAAACAATTGGTGTCAAAAGACTGGTTGTCAACTTGAAAGCATCTCCATCAGCCAGCGCAGATTTTATTTCCTCAAAAATGTTTAAGTGTAAGCAAGTCTATTTTTTAATGTAGTCAACAAAACTCTTTGAACAGTGACTATAGACGTACATACTGCCATTGAATTGGAATGCAGGGAAAGTGGTCTGCTAATAACTACCATCAGCTGTCCTTAACATTCATTCCATTAAAAATCTTAGAACATGCAATATACTCGCATTTTATTGAATTCCTTGAGTCTCATTCTTTCTTTAGTATTTATCTTCATAAATTTTATGCAGCATTGTGGTGCAAAAATGCAGTTGCTGTGTTATATTAACAACTATATCTTTAATTTGATACTCACTGCTATACTAGATTTCACTAAAGCAAACGACTCCGTCTCACACAAACTACTTTTTTTCAAATGAAATCAGCTCAACCTTGACCCCAACAAACACACATGGATTAAGGAACTTCTAACTGTAGCCAATATGTGACAACTAACAATTTTTGTTCCCTTAATTCCACTGTAACATCTGATGTACCACAAGGGTCTTTTTTAGGCACCACTGCTGCTCAATTTACATTAATGACCTTCCTACCAGTGTTTCTCCCTCAACTGCCACACTATTTACAGACTGTGTACTTTACCAGAAAATAACTATCCATTCGGATCACCTTAATCTCACACACGATCCGGATAGAATATTCAAATGGTGTAAGAACTGGCTCATGACACTTAATTTAACCTAATGTACGAGCATGCAAGTTTTATGCCATCTCCCGACAAGAGCTCTCGCGGAGTGGTGCCCCGTCCTCGGACTCCTGCGACAGTGTCCATCTTTCCTATCGTCTCCTTACTTCCGTATGTGGTCTCTCTGTCCCCCCCCCCCTGCACTTCTATTTCTATACCTTTAATCCTCCCTATCCTTTTAATCCCTCCCCACCCCATCCCTTGTGAGCTACTGTTGAGGTGTCGCACTGTGATGCAGACAGTTACGGGGCTCACTTTTTTCTTCTTTTCTCTCTTTTAAAAATCACTCGAAATTTCATGCCACATTGCTATCCACTCTGTACTTACTCCATCAATAACATCCCATTATAATAAGTTGACGATTATAAACATCTTGCTTTGATACATCTTCTCATCTTTCCTGGAGCCCCGCCACGGTGGTCTAGTGGCTAAGGTACTCGGCTGCTGAACCGCAGGTCGCGGGATCGAATCCCGGCTGCGGCGGCTGCATTTCCGATGGAGGCGGAAATGTTGTAGGCCCGTTTGCTCAGATTTGGGTGCACGTTAAAGAACCCCAGGTGGTAAAAATTTCCGGAGCCCTCCACTAAGGCGTCTCTCATAATCATATGGTGGTTTTGGGACGTTAAACCACACAAATCAATCAATCATCTTTCCTGGAATATTCTGGTAGAATATGTGACTAACAACGCTAACCGCATGCTGGTTATCTGCATCAAAACTTTTCCTCTGCCAATTCGTCAACCACGTTATCACTTTACAACACATTGGTACGTATGTGCCATATGGGATCCAGTTCATGCCATTCTCACACTTTCGAAGCCATTCAGCATTGCGCAAAATTATTTATCTTATCGAATTATTCCCGTAATTCCAGTGGCATATCCACGAAGAGCACGCTAAACTTGCCTGACCTTTCATTGCGACGTGAATTTTCTCGCCTTAACCTTTTTCCACAAAATCTATCATTACAACAGCTTTTAAAGCCCTGATTCATCCACTTCGTTTCATATCAGCAAGGACCGACCATCGCTATAAGGTGGTCGGTCCTTGCTGATATGAAACTACCATCCTGTCGCACCCTTATGTGCAATGACTCGTTTGTTCCTACAAGCGCCTGGAACCACCTCCCCGCCTCCATCACCTGCATAATGGACGATCAAGATTTCAAGCTCGCAAGGACTGTAGCTTTCTATTTTGTTTTTAACTGCATTTGTAATAATCATTTTCTCCACTCCTTTCTGCAGTGCCTTCGGGCCTTGAAAGTATCTTTAATACATAAATCAATAAATACATCGTCGCAGTTCAGAAGGAAATGCAATACATAATATCGCTATGTCCTGTGTGACAGTACAGGGTACGCTGACAAAAAGCATTAAACATACATCCACACAGAGAGTATATTTAAAGAGAGCGTTGCAATTGTATCCCATTTTGCTCCACGAAGTGTGTACCTGACGCAAGGCACGGACATCCGCTATGAAAAACGAGCAGGTCAGCCACACACGCACACTCACGTGGTCTACGTAATATTGCATGTTGCGCAGCGTGGTAAGTGCGCACCGCACGTCTTGGCGATAGAATTATACGTGATAAAGTGCACTCACAACATCAGCAACCTTGCGAATGCCGCCTTGATCAATGGTAACGTCTTTGGCGTTTTTGACGATGTACTCCGCCGACTCCCTCGGATTTAGCGCACACATTCCTGAGAAATAAAACGAGATCGAAATGTAGCTTATGCATAGTAACAACTAAATGTAGTGACAAGTAGATAATTTAAGAGCCACTTGCTTAACGCCCGAGCACGCCTCAAAAAACACGTTGGCACTCTGCCGCAGATCCCCACGCTGCCTTGCCTGTACCAGCTGTAACTTTTACACCAAACGCAAGAGCCGTGCGACTTAACGTTAAGCGAGTAAGAGACGTTTCTCGCTTTTTCTTGGCAAAGCACGTGGCCCAGCAGGGCACCACACTTTTACACGAACTGAAATGACCGCACCGCCCGCCAGCTGACGAAGAGACCGCCGACTGTATTGGTTGCTCGTGGCACGTGACCGCGACTCCACGTGACTGCTGCGATCCAGCCGCAGCCAAGTTGACAGGCTGGTTTAAAAATGGCGGCGCGCAACCGGCGAGAGGGGATTCACAACAATCCTTGCGCAACCACCGGTGCACGGCGGCAAAGGGCAGGCGTCACGTGACGGCTACGTACAATAACCCGTGAGGGGGTGAATGTCCGGCGGTCACCTGTAAACAGTTGCCCCGCGGTCCGCCGGGCGGCCCACGATACCGCGGCGGCGGCGGCTGCTGCGACCCGAGCCCGGAGCGAGCAGCCAGGTCAGTGGCCGTGATGCTGTCGCGCAGGTGTTTCTACGTGGCGCTTGCCCCGCTGCCGCCGCGATGACCCCGTTCGCTGCCGGCTAGCCATGGCGCTCAATTTCTCGGGCGACGACTACGGCAGCTTCAAGGGCCGCTTGGGCCGCGGCTGCTCGTGGACGCGCGAGGAGACCCTACTCCTGCTCGACCTTTATGAGAAAGAGCGGCTCAACGACGAACGCACCGACTACCCACCGCACAACACGCCCAAGTATCAGAAGGTGCATCAGGCCATCTCGGGCTTCCTGGGGGCGCACGGCTACAGCAGGACGCCCATGCAAGTGCGCGAACGGCTCAAGCGGCTCAAGCGCGACTTCCGAGAGAACCGCCACGGCGAGTTCACCGACCGCGTCGGCACCATCCTGGCGAAACGCGCCGCGCTCGGCGCGCCGGCGTCGCCTCCTAACGGGTCTGTGGCCGCCGTTGCCGGCCCGCATAGTTCGCCCGAGCATTCGCTGGAAGCGTGCTGCCCCGCCGTGCTGGTCAAGACGGAGCTGGGCGAACAGTCTTCGCAAGGAAACACGCTTCGTAATCCGCGGGCGGATTGGCAGCCGTTGCCTGTTGTACGAGCGCCCGAGCCGAGTGCCCGTGTCGAAAAGCAACGTCCACCGGCGGATGAACCCACCGAACGACCCGTTGTCGCAGCGTCCAGCAACGGCGGCCCTCGCGCCCGCAGAACCCTTCAGCAGCGGGTGGTGCGCCTCCTGGGACAGCTTCTCGCGGAGAGTCGACGTCAGACGCAGGCCGCCGAGGCCTTTCAGCAGCAGCTACTCTACCAGATGCACCTCATCTCCTGCTCCCTCCAGGTCCTGGCTGCAGGCAGCCCCCAGGGCCCGCTGAAGCGTGATGATGCCAGCTGACCGTCCACCGACGTGACTGACTGCATACAGGGTTCTCAGCTGATACCCTCGAAAATAAGTGTACGGAAATGCTGCCAGGCACCTTTAGTGCCTGCAGGTCTTTGTTTCGCCCATGACTTAATGGAACTTTAATTTGACTTAGTAAAACTGTGCACTGTGAGGCAAGGTGCAAGCAAAGAGGATAGTGTATTAAGTGCAACAGGCTGTGGTCTATCCTTTATACTTGCAATCCCTTGTAGAGCACAAGCCACACTTCCACAAAAATTTTTTCTGTGGTGCTTTTCAAGTGTGCATATTCTTGACAGTTCTGCTTGGAATGTAGTTTTCACTTTTAGTTGACTGCATTTCATGCTTAACTTGAGGGAATGATAGATCATGAGCCACTATAAGACTGAGGTGAGGTTGTTGCTGTTCTGCGGTCTATTATGGATATATATTTTTCTTACGGTTAAATGCTTGGAACTGTATGGAGGCAGAAATCACTTCTTTCCAACTTTTCGGAGATGTAAAGTACACTGTGTATAACAGTGCCTTGAAGAGAAATGTTATTTATGGTCAAATGGTTGGCAAGACTAATATTATATATGTCTACTATGTATACACCATATTTATTGAGGGGCAATACTAAGAAATGCAGTGCATATTTGCAAGTCTGTGGTGTATTTTTAATGAGATTCTTTGAGCAACCAAAGGAATAATTGCAGTGCAATTGGAGAAATAAAGCAAGTCTTTACACATATGTTTTATGCTATAACACTGTTTCATTTTTTAGAGATAGCATCATAGCTATTAAAAACTTGAAATAATTGGGCAGCATGGCCAGTATTAGTTTTAGAACAGTGCAGTGCAAAGCTTTGTGTTTGTATTGCACATGCGTTGTATACTAACCTCTTGCAGGCTCCAGTTTAGTGATGAATGCTAACACTATGCCTGCAAGCTTTGCGTATGGTATTCTGAAATTCCCTATTATCAAAAGTATACTGATACTTGCTAAAGGTAATTATGGCTGCTACAAGTAGCTAAATTTTTTTTATCGACAAGTGTAGCCAAAAGTGGTTTTGTAGACAGACATTCATAGTAATGGAGAACAATGCATGTTGATGGTGTACTAATAGTTTAAAATAATTTTGCTTACAGCACTGATTTAAGTTGCATTTAATACCTTTTTCATAAAATTGTTGAGCTTTTTAGTGATTTATCTAAACACAAAATAGGCATAAATACTCTACACTTTATATTAAGGTGCAGTGTTAATTATGGTTGGTTGAATTATCCATTGGCAGCAGCATTAAAAAAGCTGCCATGCTTGTTATTCACTTCTTGTGGATGTATGCATAGGCATGGATTTGTGGTGTCACATATAGATTTACTCCAAAGTCCACCAGGAAGTGTTTTTCGACAAAGTACACTATCTCTAAACAGCCTACACTTGTAATGCGTGAAGCAACAAGTCTACTGCACATAGGAGCTATTGGTAAGCATGGGATGTAACCTGGACAAAAAAAAAAATGTGAATTGATGAAAAGTTTCCTTGTATTATGCATGGATATGTATAATCCAGTTCTCTATCGGGTGAAGGGTGCTTGAAGTGCTGAACTTGTCCCCTTCCTGCACTGTCTCCTTAGTCGAGTTCTTTCATAAGAACTGGATAGTTTACGGTATGTACGATCGCCAAGAACCTTAATCATGTGATTATGAATTGTGTTATGTTAAGGCTTAAAGACATTGTTATAGTGATTCACACATAACTATGCTGCCTAGCTCCAACAGAATGCAGAACCGCTCACAAAATGTGCAAATTAATTTAATCAAGCAACTTTGCTAAATGGTTGCACTAGTTTATGTATGGCCATTTATTCTTGTGAACAGAGGTGAGCTTAGGTAGAGTTCTAAGGATTTCTTAGTTAACCTGAGCAAAGAGTTGGCATATCTAGTTGATCTAATTGAAAGAAATGGAATCCCTTGCTTGTGTTTTTAATTTGGGTGTCCTTGCAAGAAACTTTTCTTTGCAAAGACAAAAATAAGAAGCATATTATATCGGTAGTAGACTCATTGCATTTTTTATAATTTACTTGATTTGCTAGAGTGCATTATCATTTTCTGTTAACTGTATAGGCATTAATTTTGTTTCACAGGCAAGTTTTTCCCAAAATTTGATTAAATATGACACAAGGTTCATGCAAGTCACAGAAAGGAGATAGAATATAAAATGAAGACCAACATTTTGTGTGACTTCAAGATGCCATACTCTGTATCATGTCAATTCAGCTCCTGTAAGTAATTGTACTGCAGGGTGACAACTCATTCCAGGTCTGTTAGCACCTTTAGATCACCTGACAGCACTCAATCAATGGCCACTGTGCATGCTTTATAAAAATGGCTAAGATGCCTGTGATGCAAGCACCTCTGTGATATTTCATTACAGGTAACGCAACTAATCCAATTCACTCTTTTTAGTTGCCTATGGCGGTGTGTGAATACATTGCCTAGAAAGTTTTAATTGATGACAGGCAACTAGAACTTTTCTACACATAACGTCTTTTGTATAACTTTCCTCTCTTCCTTTGAATCTCGCAAAAGCACAGTCAGAGGCTATGAAATGCCTCCTCTCATCCACTAGGGTGTTCAATGGTTCAGACATAATAGTTGCTAGGAGGCAGAATTTTTGCACTCTTTTTACTTGTCATTTGAGACAAGTATGGAACCGTTCCCATTATGGCCTGCGCTAAAGTTTTATTTCATTTTAAGCGCATTTGCCTTGCTCTTTATGCCTGTAGTGTGTAGTAATATGTGTAAAGCTGAGATAGAGCGCATTGAAATGCAGAAGTGGTGCCTTCAGTGTTAAGGCTGGGTTAACCTAGGCGCAAGCATGTTGAGATAAGCTGCAATAGCATTCTTGAATGCACTTTCAAAGTGTTTCGATGAGATTCTGTGCTTGTAATTTATTTGCATAGTTATACCATTTGCCACTCGAAATCCAATCTTTTTGTTTATATGTCAGAATTGGCAGTATTGACATTGCAGTAATTAAATTACTTTTTGTTGTAATGAGTAATATAACTACTTTTGGGTGGGCTGGTAACATGGTTGTGTGATCAGTTACTTCAAACAAGGAGTTTCAAGAAAATTACCTTCCCAATCACTCTTGAATAAAATATAGTGTGTCTGCTTCCATTATGGCATAAAATATACACACAAAAAACAGAAAAATAATAAATCCAATTTAATCTGAATGCCCAAACTCAAGCCTGAAAAGCTGAAAAATGATCTCGGATAATTCGGTGTGTATGTGCTGTACATAGGGTGCTCGTTATTTTTTCATTAATAATGAATATTTGTTAAACATAATTTAAGAGTAATGTAATGTCATGAGTGTGGCTCTTGGCCAGCTGTAATTTGTAATGCAACTTAATTACATTTTAGCCATTATGTTCCATCTTTTACTGATGTTGTTGTTATGAAATGCTATTACACTTATACTGTTGCACCAACCAGCAAACGTGCTGGCAAGATCACTATCTGCTGGCCAGTCACTCTGGTTTCCTTGTGGTTATGATGGTCTGCTGATAACAGTCCCTAGTTAAACTCATGACTGTGGTGGCCAATTGCAAAATTAGCCACCACTCCTCTTCAGATTAGTCCACTGCAGAGTTCCATAACAGTCATATTGCTGCATTGGAACTTAGGATACAAGGATTCAGGTTTTATTTCCATTCGCACCAATTAAAAACAGCTAGCTACATAAAAAAATATGGTTGCTGCAGTGGAATCTAGAAATTTCAGTGTGGGAACCAAAATAAATGGTCAGTAATTTACACTTATCTGGCAAACAGAGACCAATGCACGAAGATCCGTAAAGTTTGCTGGAGTGACAAAACAGCGCTCTAAGAAGGACATTTTGTGTACAAGCCTTGTGCAATAAGTTGAGTGGGCCTTCAAAAAACATGCATTTGAAAGCTTGGTCTTTTTTTTTTTTTTAGATACCACATGTCTACATTTCTTCAGAGTCACGAATACATGAAAAGGCTCTACAGAGGCAGATGCAAAAAACTCTGTTTGAATACTCCACCACTTATAAGTTAGTGCTGAAATATTAACTAAACCTATTTTCTGATTATTTTATCTTGCTGGTTACAAAGTTGAATTGCACCTAAGTTGTCTTAAAAGCAAAGTGTGGCTAAGGAGGTTCAAGAAAGGAAAAAAAAAACATCCTGGAGTTAAGCAGTGACATGAAATTTCAAACTCGACATGTGGCGTTCATTCGATTGCTTGGTATTCATGCATTCTTTAGCGAAGTATGAACGGCGCCCATTACGTAGAAATGATTCTATTTCGAGCACGAAGAGCGTTTAAAGTATCAACGGTGCGTTCAGGTGATCTGTCGCGGAATCATTAGCGCGTTCGAAGCTACGATCATCGCGAACAAGTAACACGCCCGCGGCGTTCAATATGCGTAATTGTGGTGTCTAGCCAGCCAGCGTGGTCCAACGCGCGTCTCCTTCTTGTCCCTTTGTCGTCGTTCTGTTCTTTCGTCATGCCATACCTACTAGCCCAAACTGTCACGCCCATCTCCAGCTGCTTCCTCGTCGTTGTTCAGCCCAGTGTCGATTTAAGAAACTGCACTGAGGAAGATGATGAGGGTGACGAAGACCTGCCTACAAGGGCGCAAAGCAGACGAAATGTCCGCCGAAACTTGCGTCACCATTTCGTGTGGCCATGTGACGGCGGGAGGTGACCACTTAGCAGCGCTGAAAATTGGCGGGCTTAGCGTCCGTTTATACTTCAAATGCGCAGGGGTGTAAAACATGTTTGTGAAAACATCAGTTTTGCTTGACTTTATTATAGCATGGAAGTTAACATCTAATCAATCACTTATATTAACAATTGGTTGTAACTAAAATGGCAGGATATCAAACGTTAAAAAATTGAAACTACAAAATTACGCGCAATTGTAGCAGTGCATGGTCAAGAATTTCTTTTTGTGAGCATCTGGAGGAGGGGTGCATCCTTCCTTGAACTCTAAAAAGGCATTAAAAAGGGGATGACATGCAGGTGCTGTCTGGTGCAACTTCACGTCAGGCTTGCCGAATGGAGGACAGAAACTACGAGAGGGCGGGGGAGGGGGGGTTGCGCATTGCTACACTCCTGAATTTTAATTAATACCGAGACAGATCAAAGCCGGTATTTCGTGGGGATTCCGTAAGCTTTTGTTCTATGCTGGCCTTATTCGTTGTTCATGGCAGGAAGATCTCGTTGATCGTACACTCCAAAATTGGGCTGCTGTGAGGCCAGAGAGGGTGGGTGGCGGCGAATTATGATCATTATCTGAAAGAAATTGACATCGTATTAGAGCGACGGCAAGTCACAGCTATTGTTAAGAGATAATACTAGAGTGCATGCGCAAATTATGAAGAGGTCTGATCAAGTGTCCACCAATAAAATCTCAGAAAGTAATTAATGAGCCCTTTGGGAATACAATAAAAATGATATGGTACGAGAAACCAGGAGAGAAGAAATGATGCCAGTGCAATGAAGTTAATAAATATCATTGTAGGCTCAAAATCTTTTGTCTGACACAACACGAAGCCCTGAGATGCTCCACCGAAATGACCGATACACGCCAGCCGATCGCCTCCGAAACTACTGAAATCCCGCTCATGCATGCGGCGATGGTCTCCGAAGTGCAGAGCCTCCGGACGTTTGGCTCATGACGTCAGCCCGGAGTGCGCGCAGGCTTGTGTTCATCCGTATTTGAGAACAACTTTGCCGCAGACTACTGAAGTTGTATACGTTGCCGGAGTTGAAATAGCGGGGCCCTGCAACAATTTGAATGAGACGCCACCGATAAGTAATAGTCAAGGCTTCCGTGAGCCCCGCCGCGGTGGTCTAGTGGCTAAGGTACTCGGCTGCTGACCCGCAGGTCGCGGGATCGCATCCCGGCTGCGGCGGCTGCATTTCCGATGGAGGCGGAAATGTTGTAGGCCCGTGTACTCAGATTTGGGTGCACGTTAAAGAACCCCAGGTGGTCGAAATTTCCGGAGCCCTCCACTACGGCGTCTCTCTTAATCATATGATGGTTTTGGGACGTTAAACCCCACAAATCAATCAATCGAGGCTTCCGTGAACACGCATGCCACTGCACGCGGACCAGCAAAATCTCAGTTTTGTTGCTAAGACGGCTAGATATCCCTCACCATCATCTCGGCAAACTACACAGACGAAGGGTCACTGGCTGTCTCATAATTGCAAAAACACCCTGCGTAATAATCATGTTGTTCGTCTCGAGTTATTTTCAAGAACACCTAAAAAGTAACTTATCTTAGTCACTCCTGTCCCGATAAATGGCCGTCTGCCTATTGTTTCGTTTTCTGCAGCGTTAATTCATATGATGTTATCTGGTCATCATGCGTCATGTGGCGTCACTATACACCCGTGCTAGGTGGGCTTATCAACTATTAAATGAAGAAAGTCGGAACAAGGGTTCGTACGTCGACTGAACCAGCAGCGCGATCAGTTTTCCTTATAGAGTTATCTGCCAGACTCGTTGTTTCTTACTATATGGCTGCGGCCTCCTGAAGTGGTACTTAATTCAGCTGGCTACGCGCTGCATGCTCGCAACCCCCCCCCCCCCCCCCGCCGCTTGCTGGAGAGAGCACTCGTAAAGATTGTCTCACTTCACGCGGAAGTTCAGCTAAAGTCTCTCGCAGCCACTGCTAGACCCTGCAACATCGATTCGCGCAAACTTCGTTTTCCGAAGCGTGACGCGTCAGAGTGTAGCCAGAGTTTTTTTTTTTTTTTTTTTTTGGGGGGGGGGGGGCTCACTATGGGCGGTAGTTTAAACAGATCGTGCACATGTATATCCAGTCATGAGATTCCCCCCTCTCCCCATGCGTAAGGCTGTGAAGAGAGTAAGTAAAAGTACTGTAAGAAGGATTGATTGATGTGTGGGGTTTAACGTCACAAAACCACCATATGATCATGAGAGTACGCCGTAGTGGAGGGCTCCGGAAATTTCGACCAGCTGGGGTTCTTTAACAAGCTCCCAAATCTGAGCACACGGGCATACAACATTTCCGCCTACATCGGAAATGCAGCCGCCGCCGGGATTCTATCCCGAGACCTGTGGATCAGCATCCGAGTACCTTAGCCACTATAGACCACCGGGGCGGGGCAGTACTGTAAGAAGTACTATAAACACAGTCGTTTGTAGCAACGGCCCCTCGTCGCACCTTTGAATGGACTAGTCTTCGAAAACTCATTATTGCGATGACCCCCCCGATCGGAGAAGACGTCGTTAACCTCTGTTAAGCGTAGATGGCGTAATCCTCGCCGGGAAAAAGTGCGTTTCACAGGTCAAGGACGGTTTGGCTTACAACGAAGAATGAGAGGCACACGGAGCATGTTTTTTGTACATTCATAATTACATTTTGGTCTGCTTACTCTGCTGAGCGAATTTCTTACTGACGATGTCTGTGACTGCACGTTTATGGGAATTATTTTTATGTTAATCTCTACATGTCAAGCAGCCCTGACGCAGTGGTAGCGTTTAGTGAACTTTTTTTTTTATTTTACTGCGCGCAGCCAAGCATGATTGCGATACGCAATAAGTATTTTTTTTTTTGTAATATACGCAGCACGTTGGCAACACGATTTTTCACACGTTATTTTTCGGGCAGACTTTCAATTGCACTGTGACTTTTGATAGCAATGAAGTGCTTCAATCGTAGAGGCTTTATCGTGCAATCTGCGAGGACAAAGTGATTGATGAGAAATTTTCACTTGGTATGAATTGAAAATACACGTGCAACTGGACTATATACCTACTCACACAAAACTATCTTGTTCGTTGCGTATATATGCGCTAAAACACCTAAATACGTGCGAAAAACACGGAATGTTCTCGTTATTTTTTTTTTCATAGCTTTCGTCACTCGTATCCCTGAAACGATAGCGTTGCGGCAAGGTGTCTTCCGTTGTTTGCAAGCGTGCAGCCGACATTTCCTTTTACGTCAGCAAATTCAGAACTGTGCAGAATATTTCACCGCGCAGCATATGGGCATTCATGTTTCCAGCATTTGCACCAGCGTAAACAGAAGCAGCCTCAAACCACACAAAATCTTCAGTGATCGGTTCACTGCAGTGGTGAAGGAATGAACTCCGGAGTTATTCAGAGCATAGTGCACCATAATCCATTTCTCAGAAAGCGTGAACTCCGACGAGAACTGCAAGCGCATGCAACACGAGTTTACTTACGCTCTACTGTGCACCCTACATGCCTGTTCATTGTGTGTTTCGGGAATTCTGATGCAAGTCGCTGTAATTTCACTCCTGCCATCAACTCCTTTGCGTTCATTCACGTGTGTGGTATTTTATCACAACGCGACAGAAACTACCAGCGTTCTGTATGGGCACAATCTCAAACGTGAGACGTCTCACGCGCAGAGTAAGATACAGCGCGAGCGCGACCTAACCAGCACCTGAAGGGAAGTGGAGGAAATGTATACCCGCTCATCTTTCCGCCAGGCGAGAAACGAGCGCTAGTGTTTAAGGCGGAACTTTACCAGCCGACATGTATCGCCGCTACAGTTCTCGTTTCTCGCATTCAGGGTCACTGCCCGAACTTTGGTGAGCGCGTTTCTTCCTAGAAATTCGAATTTCAGCCCTTGAAGTACGCTGCATACACGTATTGCTAGGTAGTTCGTGTCCTGGGTAGATCAGCGCCCTTCTATGAGACTAAATTGTCGCGCCGAAACGCCGTACGGTATAACGCTTGATTATTTCTCGAAAGGTGACGCTGCTCCCAGTGCACACTTGACAACTGGCGAAAATTAGGATAGCACTTGTCACAGGTAGGTAGCTTCATCGAAGTAACGTGCCAGTGGCTTACATTACAGAGCACTTTGGGCTTTCAGTATTTCTGGGCTTTTCTGGACTATTTATTTTACCAGTTGAATGAATGCTTTAAAAAGAATCGGCACACCTTGACGATGCTTTTTTTTTTTTCTCTCAGCCACAGAACGTTCCCGAATCTGCCACTCTTCCCAACGCCGAAAAGTTTGCTGACGTGTACTCAAACATTACCTCAACTTCGGCATTGCTCGGGGAGTTAGCAGTATGGGCTGCGAAACGGAACCGAGAGAAGCGAGAAACGCTGAGCATGTCTGCGATGCAAGCGGTTGTCAATTTCGCAGAGGTGTCTTTTCAGAACGTGCACCATATTCTAAAGATTCCGGCAACTCTACCGGTAAGCATAGCTGAAAAAAAAACTATCTTTTTATTCGCTAAGACGCCTAAAGTTGTACCCGAGGGCTACAACAAGAAATAAAAGTCTACCCAGAAGACATTCTTCCTGTTCTTTACCGGGAACGTAGACGGCTTCAGCAGAGTGTGTGTGTATATCACCCATAGGCGCATGCTAAAAATCAATCAAAACGGTGAACTGAAGTTATTCTTGTATTGAGATTTTCTTAAGAACAGAAGTAAAAACATAGTTTTTATTGATCAATCGATGGGGTTCGACCTCCCAAAACCACGATATGATTACGAGCGACGCCGCTCCGGAAATCTTACCACTTTGGTTCTTCAACATGCACCTATCAGACCTCGAGTATATCATAGCACGCGTACGAAGAGTCACCCTGTAATATGCTTTAACTGGCCCATCAGATTTTGGATCTGTGTTTGGCTTTTTCCATTAAAACAAAGCTTTGCCTATTGAAAATTATTGTAGTGATCGACTCCGGCGAGGTCTGTTCCGGCGGCTACAAGTATGACCACCGCTTAAGCATTATTCCCATCGCCGAGCCAACACTCGCGGCCGAGATTCCGGCCCAAAATCCCACAGAGTGCCAAAGCCTTGAGGAACACCGCGACATGTTTTTCCGTATGCAGACATTATTCATTGTAAAAGCGCCCAGGAATAATATTGTGATGGTAGCAGCACCCAGTTTCTAAACGATATCAGCAAGAAGCGACGAAAGAAAAAGTTGGGTAAGTTGCAAGGGGGGGGGGGGGTGCTGGATCAAAAATTTCGGGAGAGGGGGGTTTCAACCCCTCATCCCCCCGCCCCTGGCTTCACCACTGTGACGCGTGTTGCTGGGTGTACATTGGACCACATCAGGCGCTCCGGAATTGGGGGGGGGGGGGGCGTCGCCCCTACAGGTTAGAAACCAGGGGTGGCATGCCCCCCCCCCCCATTCCGTTGAAAGGTGTTACGACCCCTCCCCCCTCCTTTTCTCGCCTTAGCAAAAACAGAGATATGTATTAACGGCTATATATATATATATATATATATATATATATATATATATATATATATATATATA